GGAGCGGCTCGGTATTACGCTGGTTAAGGAGGCGACCTGCTGCCCAGCGAGAGGGGTCGAGGCCTGGCCCTCCCTTCCCAAGAGCTCGTTCTCTCCCCTTGCTCCCTGCTCTCGCAGCTCCAGTCCTAACGCTGATTTCTGTTGATGCCGTTCCGGTGGATCACACAGTGCTGCCTTACTCTAAAACCAGGCTCTGGGCAGAGGAAACCCAGGCGGTCCCCTCCCCAGCTCTCGGTGACTTTTACACGCAGCTCAAAGAGGGTATGAAAAAGGAAAGATGGTCACCTCCTTCGAAACACCTGGAAACCGTCTCCCCTCGCAAGCCTGCCGCAGCCTTCCCGAGGCTTTCCAGGTGCGAGCAGCATTCCCGCCGGACCCTGCCCTCCCCGCAGAGGCAGAACGGCCAAAACCCTCTTCCAGGAGTCCCATGACTGCTCCGTCAGCGCCTGCCGGAGCAACACCCATGCTCCCCCCTGCCGCTAACACCGTGCAGGGGTTTAACAACAGCCAGGGGAAAGGAGGAAAAGAAAAAAAAGCAAGCAAGCCAGCACGCCAGCAAGCTCCTACCTGCGTCTCTAGCCCTGGCAGATTACTCTGCAATTGCTCAGCCCGTCTCTGCAACTTCTATGAGCGCTCGTAGGCACTGAGGCAAAGAGCTTCCCTTTTCAAAAGGGGAGAAGAAAAAAAAGAAAGTCCCATTTCATGCGCGGCTGCAATCGGAAGGCTCCTGCGGGCTGGGGAGGCGTCAGACACAGGGCCACTTCCCTCCCACTGACCCCAGCACCAGGGCAGATCACATCCTGCTGCCTCCCTGCTAAGAAAGCCCTTAAACAAACCCCAGCGAGCAATGCATTTCTCAGAATAATTGATTTCTCTAGTTTCCTTTTAGGGAAGCCATGCTGCTGTCCTGCGAGGTGATACGAATATGGTATCGCCGCTCAGCATTCATACCGAGTCCAGCCGAAAGCTCCTGCTGTGGCTGGTGGAATTTGCACCCTTCCGGGGAGGGCCCCGGCCC